TTTTTAAAATGCTTCTTTAGTAAGAACAGAACAGTCTAGTCCAGCCCTTGACATCCCCATAAAGGGAAACTGAGTCAGAACCAGGGCTCAAGCTTTGGGGAGGTGGGCCCATTCTCTCAGCCCCACCGGAGCACCTTACCCAGGCCTGCCCTGTGCACAGGCGCGTGTGTGCACACGCAGGAATAAGCCAGCTCCCGCATGTCCTCGTGTGTGCACACACACCTAACTTGCCCCTGACACACACACACACACACACACACACACACACGTGCCGGCGCCACCTCCATCTGCCTGGGCTGCAGTGACGTCACATCCACCTCTGCCCAGGAGCAGGTGTGTCATTGCACCTGCTGGTCCTCCATGACCACCAACAGCCCCTCCTGAGGGTGTCCCGGGCACCTGGAGGAGGTGCTGGACGGCCCTCTTTCTAGTTCCTATTTACTCACACAGACACCTCTGTCCCCCAAGGTCCAATCAACACCCCTTCCCCAACCCCAGACCCTACTTGCATTCAGCCTCTTCCAGAAGGATCTATGGCCCCCTCCTCATTACAAAATTCTTTTCATTCAACAAACATTTATGGGAAACTACTCCAGGCCAGGCGCCAAGACATCCAGGAGTATGGCCCGGACCCTGACCTCCAGAAGCTCCCAGGCTTGTGGGGAGACAAGTACAGAGGCGAGCAGCAGGGCCGTCGGGTGGGGGGTCGTCCTGGAGGAGGCAATATCAGAGCCAAGCTGGGGAAGGGAGAGGCAGCATGTGTCCAGTGGGGTGAGTGGTGGCTCCAGTCAGGGAGGACGAGATCGGAAGGGCCTCCAGGAGTGCAGGGAGACTAGAGGCACGGGGGGGAGACACAGGTCGGGAGACTGGCCCTTCCCACATGTGCAGGGCAACTCGTTGGCCCACAGCCAAGGGCCCCCAGGAAGGGAGGCATCTCCCCAGGGAGGAGGAGTTGAGAGGGTTCTGTACCCACCTTATCCCTGTCTCTGGCCCCCTCTGCCCAGTGGAGCAGGAATAGGGGTGGGCATTGATGGTAATCTCCCTCCTCCCAGTCCCCTCCGGTCCTTCTCATAGTCTCTCTTTCAATGAGGCCTTGAGCATTGTTCGCCTTTGTAAAGAGGAGGATCGAGTGACAAAGCCGGGTGGGTGGGCAGGCGGCCCAAGAGGCCTCTTCTTTCCCAGGCAGCATCTGCATGGGGGAGGGGCTGTTCCACTCTCCCCCACCTCTGGCTTCCCAGGATCAGCTGTTGCCATGGTGACAGGCCTGGCATCCCACGGCTCCTGAGGCACGCTTCTCACTAGGAATGCCAGAGGAAGGGCCCCTGGACCCCTTTCCACCCTGAAGCGGCCGGGGCCACAAAAAACCTGGCTCCCAAGCCAGTCCCAGCAGCGGGGAGCCTCCACCATTCTCAGCCTCTTAGTTGGGCTGCCAGCAGAGGGGGCAGAGAGCCGCCACCTCCTACAGAATCCGTGATGGTCCACTATCATCCATGTACCTACGCCTCCTTAGAGCAAGATACAGAAAGAAATAAAATGTCCCCATGGTCCATGAGCTGCTGCTGGTACTGGGGCAGAGGGGGGATAAAGGGAGGGATAACAGTACGTGACAGTGGGTGAATGAGGACCCTAGGCACACAGAGCAGAGCCTCCAGCCCCATCCAGGAGAGCAGGCGCCTGGCCCTAGGAAGTAATGCTGGAGGCTGGTGTGCCAAACAGAGCAGAAGAGAAGCGCCTTCTGGGCTGGGAGCTTGGAGGCATGAGGGATGTGGCAGGGTGTTTCCAAGGAGGAGTTGGGGGGTTGGCATTGGTCATGGCAGGAAAGGAAGAAGCAGGTGGGGAGCTCTGCCTAGAAGGGCTTCGGCTGCCAGCCCCAGGAGCATGAGCTTCACCCTGGGCAACGGGAAGCTGCCACTGGCATTTTAGGAACCTCCGTTATCCTTGACAAGGGGGTCAAAGCCACGTCCTTTTTCCAAAAGTACCTTACTCCTGCGCTACCTCCTTGGGAAGTTCAGGATCTCGCAGCCACACCACTTGCAGCTCAGGTGTGCCAAGTGTGTCCTAAGCGCTGGGCACAGGGCTGGCTGCACCTCCACGGATGCTCAATCTCTCGGGTCTTCTTGGAGAGCGAGAGGCTGGGTGCGTGCCCGCAACAGAGCCTTCTCCCTTTCCTTCTCCTTTCCCTGCTCCAGCACAGCTCCAAGGGGAGACGAGCACTAATTACAGCCATTACAGCCACTGCCCCGACTCCTTCCTGGGCTCCACCACGCGCCAGGCTCTACAGCAGGGCGGTGTCAGCTGAGCTGGGCCACCTGGGCAGGTGCCCGTCCTCTGGTGGTGACAGGCAGCCTCATGCAGTGGAAGAGCCTGAGTGCCAACCCTGATCTTTGTGAGCTGTGTAATCTGAGCGAATATCTTGAGTTTTCCGAGCCCCAATTTCTCATCTGTAAAATGGGCACCGAATTCCTTGCAGGACTGTTATGAGGGTTAAAAAGATCCCTGTGTAAAATGCCTGGCCAGGGCCCACCTGACTAACCCGCAGTCAGTTTCCTAGCTCCCCCACAGTGCAGATGACTCCCTCAGTCACGCATCCTCTAAGCTTCCCCAAGCAGTTGCTAGGGTACCTGGACCTGTGCTGAGCACTCAGGGGAATCGGAGTCTGAGTCCTCCAGGTAATCCTAGGCCGAGGAGTGAGGGCAGACAGGGTGGGTAGGGGGCAGGGGTGGGGGGACGGCAGGGCCCCTTGGGTGGCCTGCTGGGTGGCACTTGGGTTTCAGCAGCAGAGCTAGCTGGGAACCATGTTGGGAATCCGGCTGGGCAGAGGCGGGAGGGCTGAGGTGCTCTGGGACTCCAGGAAGCCCCCCACAACCCCAGCCCTACCTGAGTGTGTGAGGGCGGGGTGGGGTGGGCAGCTCAGCGGTCTCAGTCTCAGCCCACACTCACCAATTGTCAGCTCTCACTGGCAGGCTGAGCCGTATCCCCAGGGAGTCATGATTACTGCTCTGTGCAGTGCCTCGGTGGTCCCATCTGTACCACAGGAGGGGCAGTCCTCCCCCCGCCACTCTTTAGGAAGCAGGGGGAGCAATAATCTGGTATCCTCTTGATGGCTCTCAGGTTTACATGAGGAGGGTATGAGGTGCGCTCCGAAGGCATTGCACGGGAGGTCACTGTCCATCGTCCGGGGCTCTGTGGGCACAGGAAGGAGAACGGGGCTCTTGGGGCCCTGGCGAGGTGGGGGTGGTTCAGGCAGTGCCGGACAGCTGCAGGCTCCTGGGACAGAGAGGAATTCACAGGGAATGCTCTGTGCCACGGAGCTCAGAGGACAGGGGGCGGGGTGGGGGTGGGGGTTGAAATAGAGTCCTCCAGCTCTGTGGGAAGCAGTTTCTAAGCGGGTCCCAGAGGTGTCGAGGGGGTGCCCCAGAGAGAGCAGGCCTCCCCGGCTGACAGGGTGACAGCACCTCTCCCGAGGGGAGCTCGGCAGCCTTGTGAAATGGGTACGAGGTCCCGAGTCAGATGTCACAAACGCAACATTTAATAGCGTTATGTCCTTGGATATGTCGCCCCTCTCTGAGCCGCGGTTCCCCGACCTGGGAAAGGGGTAGCGTACCCTTCCTGGATTGCCGGGAAGAGGCAATGAGGTCAAGCGTGCAGAGTGACCAACAAGCAGCACGTGCGCAACAAATGAGTTGTGAATTTTTACCGTAGGATCATCTGCCTGTTCTACAGAAAAGGAAACTCGGGCTCAGAGAGAAGAGCCCAAAGTCACATACAACCAGTCAAGGGGCAGGGGCTGCACTTGAACTGTCACTGAGTACAAGGCCGAGGCTTCCCATGCGCGGAAGCCTTAGAAACAGTCTCCCCGCCTGGGGTAGAGAGGCGAGCCGGTGTGGGGGGACAAGGGGATCTTCCGGCTGACTGTCCTGTTGCGGGGAGAGGTTGGGCAGCAAGGGAAGGGGAAGAACCGAGTGTGAGCGGGCAGACGAGGTGGCACCCACACCAGGCCCCGCTGGACCGCGTCCGGGTGGGTGTCCCCGCGCGGCTGCGAGGCGCGGCGCCTTTAAAGCCCGGCGGGGGCGGGCCCGGCGCGCGGAGGTCCCGCCCCTGGGCGTGTCCTCCCGACGCCCCGC